GCTCCAGGGCCCCCAGCACAGGCTCCGTCCAGCCTCCCTCCTGAGCCCTTTGGCCTCCACCCTATCTGTCCCCACACCCTGTTACAGCTGGGACCCCTCACCCCAGCCCCTCCTCCACTCCGCCCTGCCTCCAGCACCTCCCTCCATGGCACAGGGGCTTTCTTTTTACTTTTCCCTTAAGGTTTTATCTAAAAGATTACAAAAATCCATAGAAAATTTTAACAATTAGTGCCATGAAGAACCATATTGCCTTCATCTGGGTTCACTGGGTTTGTTTTTTTTACCATTTTGCCCTACTTCCTTTCTTTCGCTCTCTCCAGAGAGCTGGGTATATTTAGATGGATTTCACAGTAAATCATTGGAAAGTAATTGACAGATATCCGGACGCTCACCCTTCTCAACACTGTCTTGAGAATGAGGTCCTTCCCCAGGTGACCGCTGTCCTTTTGTCAAACTCAGGAAATGAAACATTGGCAGGTAGATCTAATATTTAAATTTCTCCAGCTGTGCCAATAATAGTTCTCAATCTTTTATTTTTCTATCCAGATGCACTCAAGGCTCTTGCGTTGCATGTATTGTGTCTTTGAGGCTACTAAGCAGACCTGTCCCATCCTTCTGCCCCCTTGTGTCACCTCATCACCCTCATGAAGACGTGCACACAGCCACCAGGCCTGGAGGTGATGCCCCTTACACTGCCGGCTGGACCCTCCTGGCCTGGCTTCACTGGCCCCCCAGCCCTTCCCAACCATGTGGGGCTGGACAGACCCATGCCCTGCTCCCCTCCTCTCTGCGCTCTCCCAGCCCTCTGTCTCTCCCTAGAGCTCCTTCCTGAGTCCTGGGAATCCAGCCTGAGGGTCTCCAGGAAGGAAGTCTTCCCTGGCTCCCAGGGGAGAGTGAGTGCCCCTCTATGGGCCCCACAGCCCCAGGTTGGCCCCACCTCCCCCACCCCCACTGCTGGTGTTTGTTTAGGGACCCTTCTGTCCCCATCCCCTCAGCAGGCAGGGAGCTTCTGAGAGGCAGGTCCCTGCTTGCTTGTCCCCTGTGTCCTCAGCAGTGACTGAGGGCTGAGTCCCAGGACTCAGTTTGGAGTGGATGGAGTCAATGGATGAGTAAGATGAGACCTGTGAGGACCAGGCCACCCAGGAGTGGGCGGAGCAGCCACTGGACTCTCTCCTGCCCCAGGACAGCTGCTCACTGGGGCGATTCTCCAGGCGTGGAGGTCCGGAGTCTGTTCCAGCTCTACAGGATCCGCTTCAACATCCTTGTCACTGGGCAGGTAGGGGTCAGGCTGGGACAGGTGAGGTGGGCAGGGGTGAGGGGCGAGAGGGGGAGACAGCCACAGGCAGAGAGGCTCAGCCCAGGTCTCTCTCAGGCAGGGAAGTTTGTGCTCATCCCCACAACCCTCACTCTGGGCACTGGAGCAGCCCGGCTGGGTGTGGTGAGTCTGGCCATTGTGGGTCCCTCTGGCTGCTGGTAAGCATGAGGCCCTGGAGTGCCCCCTCAACCCCCCAGCCTGACATCGAGTCTCAAGGTGAGGGCTGGGGAGGTGGTGGGATGGCAGGTTGGGAGCCAGGCCATGGGTCTGCCCTGCATATCCCAGATCACCTTCTTCTGTCACCTGCTGCTGTTGTACATGGATGGAGAAGCCCATTTCTACTGGAGGACCAAGCATGAGGAGGGGGCTGCGGGCCTGCCTGACCCTGGGCTACACTTTGGCGGATTCTGGCTGGAGCTGTGCCCTGCTGTCCTCATCTGCAGGCAAAGGCCCTGAAGGGAACTGCCAGCCCTGAGAAGAGAGGTGGCTTCCCCACCCCCATATCTGGCTGTCCAGGTGCCTTAGCGGGGGCCCAGCACCTGCCCCCACTTCTGCTGTTGGGAGCTGGACACCGTCACCATGGTGGGCCTGGCACCCACTCGCTGCCCCATTCATGAGGCCTGTAGCCTTCCTTTGCTGGTTGGGGTAGGGGACTGGAAAGGTTGGGGCTCAACCTTGGGGACTCATGGCTGAAGCCCCGGCAGGACCAGGGCAGGGGTGGGGGGAGAATTCCACCCTTCAGCTCCCAGGCAACCTGTCCCTCCCCCAGCTCTGGCCTCGGCAGGTGCTGACTGGAGACCACAGAAGCCACTTTCGTGTACAGACTGCAGGGAACAGTCACAGGACCCTGGTCCAGTGGGGCTCTGGCTGGGGCTGGGGCTGGAGATGCTCTCCCAGGCTCCATCTCCAGTGTTCCCAGCAGCTCCCTGCTCACCAGCTCTCCACCATGCTGGCTGTGGTCACCTCCGGTCCTGCCTGGCTCCCAGCCCTCCTCCCCCTGCTGGCACCCCCCTCACAGGGAGAGCCCCTGCCCTCTCAGCTTCCCTGCACTGGGGTCTGTGCAGCCAGAGGCCAAGGCCAGGAAGAAGGCAGCCTGACAAGAGGGTCTGTGGCAGCTGCTCTGTTCTGGGTTCCCAGGGCAGGGCCCCTCCCAACTCTGGGCCTTGTCCATGGAGTGAGGAGTGTGGTGGGCAGATGCTCCAACCCCCTAGGACCCCAGGCAAGGGCACAGGACCATTTGGGCACCTAGCTTCTCAGTTGATGAGCACCAGCCCCTTCCTGGTGGCAGCCTTCAGCCTGAAGAGGGCTGGGATGGGGGAGGGGGATGGGACTGAGCAGGTGGGTCTGGCGTCCTTTGGGACCCTCTGCCTCTCTCCTAGGTGACACCAGCCCAACATCCTAAAACCTGCTCACCGGGCTCCTGGGAGCCATGGAGTGGGGAGGCTGGATATCTGGACACATGCCACTGCTGCCCAAGGTCACACTGAGAATGTGTCTATGCAGCTGCCCACCCCAGCCTGAGGCAACTGCACGAGGACCATGATTTGATCTAGACCCCAGGTAGAGGCAGGGGCTGGAGAGAATGTCCTTAACAAAGGACATGGAAGACCCAGCAGGCTGGCTTGGTTCAGGCTCTGGAATCCCCCTGGGGGCCTGAGTCCTGCCTGCTGGAGAATTTCCCCGTGTCCCAGGTCCACGGTCAGGAGGGGAGGGACAGGACTGCAGGAGCCAAGCCCTCTCTGGGTCCCAGGGTGGGGCAGGGTTTGGGGTACCCACCCCAGGGAGACAAGGGGCTGCCTCCTCCTGGGTCCCTGGTGAGAAGGGCCGTGCTGGCAGCTTGCTGGTGGAGCGACATGGGCCAGGCTGGGGAGGGGAGGCCTGGTGCTCAGGCTGGGCAGCATCTGGAATCATCTGGCATCTGGAACATCAGCAAAGCCTCGGGGTCCCTGCTGCCACTCACCCCCAGGGCAGTGTCTGTGGGAGGTGGGTTCAGAAGGGCTGGGTTGAGAGGTCAAGGTCCTGAAGCCCGGTGCGTGGAGGGGAGTCACGTGTCCCTGGTTGTCCTTGGGGCCCAGAGAAAGTGATGTTGAGGCTGCAGAGAGTGGAGGAGTAAAGCTGCCAAAGCCAGCGGCTTCCTTTTTGGTCCTCACAAGCAGGAACCGGTAGGAGGAGGCATCTATGGTAGACGGAGCATGGTCCTGGGGAGACCACAGGGCTTGCAGGGTGGGTCTGGGGACCCCCAAGGACTGGCTCCCCACCACCAGGTAGGCCTAAGGTCCCTAGAGCAGGCCCAGGCACTGTGCACCCACCTGCCTGCATGTGTCCCATCCCGAGCCTTTGTCACAAAGCTCTGAGGGGGCGGCAGGGAGAGAGGCTGCTGGAAGCTGCAGGCAGCCCTGGGCTGGGAAACAGCTGCTGCCTCAGTCTGCACGTGGGTGCACGCCCAGGGGACCGTGTGGGCCATGTGGGCCTGTGCCTGAGAGATGCCTGTGCCCAGGCAGGGGGGCCACTCCATCTGGGGCAGGCCTCAAGACATGCCCTGCTCTCTGTGAGCCCTGGGAAACAGAGGGAACCCAAGGACTCCACTGCCCTTTCTAGTGGGCCTCAATGGGGTCCAGGCTCTGCTATCTGGATCCGTCCCTGAGGGGACATGTGGGGAGGCTGTGAGGGAGTCTGGCCCAGCTCTGTCAGGGACCCCACTGTGCCTGGTGTGTGTAGCTCACCTCTGAGCTGGGCAGAGGGCAGTGGCCTGAGGGCAGGAACCTGGGATCCCGGTCTGGCCCTGTCCCTGACTCAGAGCTGTCCCAGACCTGGCACCTCGCCCTTATGGAACCTCAGCACCTTTGCTGTGGACTGGGGACAATTGTCTGGTTACAGGGGCAGGTGAGGATGCATTGACACATTGAACACCACAGTGGACACAGCAGCAGGCCACATGTCAGGCCGAGCAGTTATTATTGTGGGTCCCTGGGACTCGAGGCTCTTCCCTGTCTGCCCTACTCCACCTGTCCAGGTAGCCAGACTTGGTCATAAACTGGAAGGGGCTGGGCAAAGAGTCCACCACACCAGTGCTGGCTGTGGCCCACTCCCAAAGACTTGAAGCTCAGCACCTGGGCTGAGGTTCTGAGGACTCCCCCGGCATGGGCAGACCTGCAAACCTGAGCTGCCCTGCATAGAAGGGGCTGCCAGGACCTCTGGGTTCCGAAGGAGGTGGGGTAGGGCATCTGGGCCCCCAGTGGTCCTCATAGACTGGTGGGCATCTCCGTGTGACTGGACTCCTGGGCCAGTGCCTGGTTGGGGGCGCTGCAGGGCCAGCACCATCTCCTCCAGGCTGCTGTGTGGGGCAGTCAATCCCATTTGTTCCCGCTAGCTCTCCTTGCTGTGCCTGATGCCGTAGCCAAAATACACCACGAGTCCTGCAAGGGTGGCACAAGCCTGAGGGATAGGTCCCAGTCCTCTTCCTTGCTTGCCCTCCCCCTGCAGGCCGCCAGGGTCCCAGCCTGGCCCCCACTCACCGATCAGCAACCAGATGGAGAAGCGCAGCCAGGTCAGGTAGCTCAGGTGCAGCATGAGGAAGATGTTGAGGAGGATGCTCAGGGCGGGAGTCAGGGGCACCAAGGGAACCTGAGGGGACAAGGGCAGGGCTGGGTTGCAGGGAAGGCCTGCTGGCCTAGGGCTGGATTTCTCAGGAGTCCATAGAGCCCTTCTCTGCCTCTGGAGATTCCGGAGACAAGTGTCCACCCAGCATGCAGAGAGAGGGATGTGGGGCACTGGCCTCCCCCACCCTGAGGCCCTGGTGCATCCTGCCACGGCAGAGGAGGAAAGGGCGAAGGGAGCCGGCTGGGCTGAGCACGGTGGGTGCTGGCTGGAGGAAGTACCTGAAAGGTGTCCTGCTGTTTCTCTTGCTGGTAGGCCCCTAGGACGAGGAGACTGAGCAGAAACGTGATGGAGCTGAGAAGGAGCAGCAGGGTGTAGCCCCAGGTTGGGAGGTTCAGGGCCGAGTCTCCAAAGGCCAGCACACAGTCCAGAGTGATGGCCGAGGCCACCAGGACACCGAGGGCCCAAGCCACAGCGGCTCCGGGTCTGCACCCACCCAGGAAGCTGAGGTAGGGTCTCAGGGCTGATCGCAGCTGTCCAGGCTCAGGGGTTAAGGCCTGCTCTTGGTCCTGGGAGCTGGATGTTGAGGGCTTTTGGAAACGTAGCACGATAACGCTGATGGCCATGAAGGAATGGGCAAAAAGTACACCAATGGAGTGGAAGTGAACCAGTGCCTCCAGGTCTAGCAGCAGCACCAGGAAAAGCATGAGTATCCCGAACACCAGGATGCTCACCACGGGCGCCTTCGTTCGGCAGTACAGGTGGGCAAACACCTGGAAGAAGAGTCCATCGGCAGCCATGGCAGAGATGATTTGTTGCAGGTAAAAGAGGCTGCTGAGCAGGACAGTATTGATGGCTGTGACAGAGGATGGGAGACTGGTTAGCATCATGCACAGGCATACCAGGGGCTGCTGCCGGGGGCCAGGACATGGGTGGCCCCTTGGGAACATGGGCATGAGTTTGTCTTGGCTCTGAGAGTGACTCTGAGTGTATGTGGGTGCCAGATTGTTCCCCCTCACCACCCAGGAATGGGGTGTCCTAGTTTAGTTGACATACCCACTGGAGAATCTGATAAGGGTTGAGTCCCTCTGCCTGGAAGGATCTGGAAGCACATGCCCAGAACTGACATTCTATCTACAACTGGGAGGGGCAGTGAGTAGGTCTCTTCCCACAAGCCTGGCTGGAGTCTAATCATTAGCACCTCCCTGGGCCCAGGATGCAACTGGGAGCACAGGACCCGATGCAGATGTGTTCCCTGGAGGCTTAAGGCAGAACCCCACCACTGTGTCCCCTCCCACCTTGCCCAGATGGGCTCCTTACCACAGATAGCACAAGCTGCCACGATGAAGCCCGCCCAGCTATAGCCCTGCTGGTAGAAGGCATCAGCGAGCACCCAGTCAGGGTCCAGGCTTTGCCAAGGTACCATGAGGGTGAGCACAGTGGAGACGAGGATTTAGGCACCAGCCGCCAGGCCAAGCGAGATGGCAATGGCCATAGGCACTGCTTGCTTCGGGTTCTGGGCCTCCTCACTGGAGGCAACAATGACATCAAAACCCACGAAGGCGCAGAAGCAGGTGGCAGTGCCAGCCCTGATGCCAGTGAAGCCGAAGGGTGCAAAGCCGCCCTCCTCAGCACTCCAGTTGTGTGAGCGGGCCAGGACAAACCCCAGGATGATGATGAAGAGGATGAACACCAGGTTGATGCCAGAGAAGGTCTGCTTGAGCCAGGAAGAGACACGGGCTCCACAGGAGATGAATGTGGAGGCCAAAACTATGATGCCAGCAGCCAAGAAGTCTGGGTACTGGGCCAGGAAGGGCACCTGCCAGATGCCCACATGGACCTTGGTGAAGCTGCTGATGCTGCGGCTGAAGATGGCATCCAGGTAGCCACTGCAGGCACGGGCCACGGCGGCACCAGCAGTGAGGTACTCTAGGAACACATTCCAGCCAACGAGGAAGGCCCACAGCTCAGCCATGAACATGCAGGTGAACAGGTAGGCAGAGCCTGTGTGGGGCACACGTGCCCCAAACTCTGCATAACATAGGCCTGCTAGCAGGGAGGCCATGGCAGCCATGCCAAAGGATATGAGCACTGCTGGGCCAGCCAGCTTCTTGGCCACAAAACCTGTGAGCACGTAGAGGCCCAAGCCCACCATGCCACCCACACCAAGCAGAGTCAGGTCCAGCGTGGTCAGGTGGCGCCACAACGGCCTCTCCATGGTGGGTTCCTCCACTGGCTTCAGCCGGTTTAGCTTCTGGCAGAAGCGCTCCAGGTCAGCAGTGCTGGGCAGCTCCAGGCCATGGTGGGCAGCTGAGATGTAAACCAACCCACCTGCTGGCACCTACAAGAGGCAAGAGGGAGTGACAGGCTTCCCTGGGTCCTGATCAGCCTTCAGTCCTTGCTCTGACCCTGCCATGGGGACCCAAGCCTGGAACCACTGGCAGCTGCAGGGCTGGATGAGGCAGGCTGAGGGCCTGGCAGCAGGGTGGGCAGGAGGCCACAGGGAAGTGTGAGGATCTCTTTGGCCTGCCTCCTGGGTAGGGAGGGAACCTGGTGGAGCCAGACTTCAGCATGTTTAGGAGGTGCCCTATGCCTGGGGAGGGGTTAGCCCCAGGGATCCCAGCCAGAAGTCCCTCTAGTCATCTGGGATTCGAGAGCAGAGTAGAAACCTGAGGCTTTCCCAGGTCTGAGCCAGGCCTCTAAGATCCCCAGTAGGAGCAACTCTGTGGCCCTGGAATATGCCCAGGCAGCCACCTGGCCTCAGACAGCTGTTTTTACCCTGAATCCCATTTGTTGGGCTGGTGGACCAGTGCACCCTGCCTGGAGGAGGGGTGCCCTGGACCCTACCCTGGAAGCCAAGGCCCCACACACAACCCCATGCAGAGACACATCACCACCATGCCACCTCCCAGAGTCAGTTCCATTATTCCCCTGTCCCCAGGTACCAATGCCTTCCCCTCCTCTGAGGACTGAGTTCATCCCTACAGGACATGTTTCAACTCACTTGCTGTCACCACTGCCACTGCTCTGTGCACTGCCTTTGCCCACACCTCAGGGTGCCAAATCCAGCCCTGGGCCCTCCCTTGTGGTCATACACATACTCAGCCCACACTGCCCACACCTCACAGGGTCAAGACCAGAGCTCCCCAGGTTCTAGGGAAGCCCTATGACTGTGCCCGGTTCACAGATGAGGAAGCCTAGGCCATGAGGTAAGTGACTAGCCCAGGTCACCAGGGTGGTCTGGGGATGCTGGTGTTCCAGGTCTGGGTGGGGTCTGGAGCCCACCCAGTTTCCACTGCTGCAGACGCCCTCCTTGATGCCTCATCCCAACACACGGACTCCACCAGCTGGGCACCATCCAGGCCCCTCAACCCGGGGAGCTGTGGGGGCTGTGGGAGTCAGGGAAGACACTGGTAAGATGAGGGTCTGAATGTGGCTGAGAGGCCCTGGGCAGTCTCTGACCTCTGGCACAATGGGATGGCAGTAAGCCACCCTCACCCACTGACGAGGGAGCGCCCGGCTGTGGGGAGTGTTCTTTGAATTGGCAGAACTCGTGCTGGCTGTTCTGAGCTTCCAGCTACAGACAGTGTCCTGAAAGGAGGCAAGCAGACCCCTGGGGATGACCTCCATCCCTCAAGCTTGGGGCACCCATAGGGCCCCTCAGATGTCAATGGCAGCCCCTCCCAGCCCAGGAACACCTGTCAAGCCTGGAGGACCCTGGGGGACCCTAACAGCAGGTCCCACTTATGGATATCTGTGAGAGGTGTTGTGGACTGAGCATCTGCTCCATGCCAGTCCCCACATCATGGGGACACATCATGTGTCTCATCACATGACCAACACAAACCCCTCAGGCTTATTTATTCCTGGGGCTTAGTGGTCTTGGTCCTTCTGCTCTTCCCACTCCTTTGAAAGTGGAAAGGCTGGTGTGACAGGGTGTGAACTTGTTTACAGCAAAATGAGGACAATCCATCCAAGCAAAGCAAAACCAAAACAGTCATCCTCTTCCCCCAGAACTCTCTCCATGTTGTCGGGTTTCTATGTGGTTTGTGGAATAGGACGTTAGGGGCACCTGCAGGCTGTCTGCCTCAGCGGGCTGGTGATGGGGTGGTGGACTCCCAGACAAGATGATGCCACTTGGAGAACTCTGCCTTAGCTAGCCCCTTGCTCCCTTCTGGTATTTGGCTGACATTGTCTTGAGGAGCTTCTCTTATGGGATCCCACTTTCTGCAGGGAGACATCTCCCTCACCTCACTCCTGTGTGGCCTAAACATAACTGACCAGATGTTCCTTGTTCTGAAACGACTTCACAGAAATCCAGAAAAATGTATTTTTAACCAAGAGTCTTGGATAGTTTTGCAACAGGAGCTCTCCCAAGGCCTGACTGACGACCACCTGAGAGCTGGTGTGCAGGGTTTCAGAGCACTGACTTTTCATCTATCCAGAGAGGGCTCTCACCACACCCCCCTTCACGTCCACCAACATTCACTGGATATTCGTGGCCAAGCATGGTTGACACAGTAAACTGTAAACTTCCAGGGACATGGCTGGGCCAAGTGCTGGAACCCAGTGAGCAAGGCAGTTAGACAGAGAAACACATGAAGATGCAGTGAAGAGAAAGCACCGAAAATACAAGGAGAAGAAGTGAGAGAACTTCCCAACACATCCTACAAAGTCAGGAGCACCCTGACACCAAACCCAACAAAGACATCACAAGAAAGAAAACTACAGACCAATATCTTTTATGAATATAGATGTAGAATAGCTCAACTGAAGGCAAGCAAATCAAATCCAGCAACATATGAAAAGGATCAAGTGAGACTTATCCCGGGAATGCAAGATTGATTTAACACATGAAAGTCAATGGAATATGCCATACTAACAGAACAAAGGACAAAAACCACATCATCGGCTCAACAGAAACAGGAAAAACTAGTCAACAGACCTGGAATAGAAGGGACCGCCCTCAAAATGATAAAGACTATCTACGAAAAACCTCAGCTGCTGTGCTCAGTGGTGAGAGATTGAAAGATTTCCCTTTGCTCAGGAGCAACATTGGGATGTCCTCTCACCACTTGTATCCAATATTTTACTGGAGGCTCTGGTCATGGCAATTAGGTGAGAACATGAAAGAAAAGGAATCCAGATTGGAAAGGGAAAAGTAAAACTATGTCTAGCCTGAGATGATGTGATCTTATGTAGAGAAAATCCTAAGAACTACACATACAAAATATTAGAACTAATGTATCAGTTCAGCAAAGGTTCAGGATACAAGATCAATATATGAAAATCAACTGTATTTCTATACACTAGCAATGAACTATCCAGAAATGAAATTAAGAAAACAATTCTGCTTACATAGCATCAAAAAGAATAAATTTATGAATAACCATATTTAGAATAAATTTTACAAAAGAAATGCAAAACTTGTACACTAAAACTACTAAAAATCTATGAAAAAATTAAAGAAGACCTAAATAAGTGGAAAGATATCCCATGTTCATGGACTGGAAATCTTAATATTGTAAAAATGGCAATACTCTCCAAATTCGTCTTCAGATTCAGTGCAATCCCTATCAAAATCCCAACTGCCTATTTTCCAGAACTTATGAAGCTGATCCAAAAATGCATATGGAGATGCGTGAGACCCAGAATAGTCAAAACAATCTTGACAAAGAACAAAGTTGCTGGACTTTCACCTCTCATTTCTAAACTGACTACAAAGCTACAGGAATCAAGACAGTGTGTTACTGAAATAAGGATAGACATATATAGATTAATGGAATAGAATTGAGAGTCCAAAAATGTGGGCAATTAATTTTTAAAAGTTGGTGGCCAATTTAGATTTATGGCCAATTGATTTTTAAAAATAGGACTTTTTACGTTTTAATGCAGTTTTGCGTTCACAAGAAAATTGAGCAGAAGATTGAGTTTCCATATACCCTTATCTACTACACAAGCACAGCCTCCCCTGCTATCAACATCCCCCAAGAGATTGGTACATTTGTTATAATTGGTGAACCTACATTGACACATCATTATCACCTAAAGCCTACGGTTTACATTAGGGCTCACTCTTGGTGTTGTACATTCCATGGTTTTGACAAATGTATAATGACGTGTATAAACTTTTATAGTAAGCTCTGAAAATCCTCTGTGCTTCAGCTATTCATCCCTCCCTCCCCACTAACCCCTGGGAACCCCTGCTATTCTCACTGTCTCCACAGTTTTGCCTTTCCAGACGGTCAGAGAGTTGGAATTGAATCATACAGTATGTAGCCTTTTCAGATTGGCCTTTTTCACTTAGAAATATGCATTTAAGATAGTTTTATGTCTTCTCATGGCTTGATATCGCCTTTATTTATTTTTTTATTAAGATTGTGATAGATTACAACCTTGTGAGATTTCAGTTGTACATTATTGTTAGGCATGTTGTAGGTACACCACTTCACCCTTTGTGCCCTCCCCCCACCCCTCTTTTTCCCTGGTAACCACCGATCGGTTCTCCATGTCTATATGTTAACTTCCACCTATAAGTGGGGTCATATAGAGTTCGTCTTTCTCTGTCTGGCTTATTTCACTTAACATAATACCCTCAAGGTCCATCCATGTTGATGCGAATGGAACAATTTGGTCCTTTTTTATGGCTGAGTAGTATTCCATGGTGTATATATACCATATCTTCTTTATCCAGTTGTCAGTTTCTGGGCATTTAGGTTGGTTCCACGTCTTGGCTATTGTAAATAATGCTGCGATGAACGTAGGGGTGCATGGGATTCTTGGGATTGCTGAATTCAGGTTCTTAGGATAGATACCCAGTAGTGGGATAGCTAGGTCATAGGGTATTTCTGTTTTTAACTTTTTGAGAAATCTCCATACTGTTTTCCATAGTGGCTGCACTAGTTTGCATTCCCACCAACAGTGTATGAGGGTTCCGTTTTGTCTACAACCTCTCCAACATTTGTCACTTTTGGTTTTGGATATTTTTGCCAATCTAACGGGTGTAAGGTGATATCTTAGTGTAGTTTTGATTTGCATTTCCCTGATGATTAGGGATGATGAACATCTTTTCATGCGTCTCTTGGCCATACTTATATCTTCTTTGGAGAAATGTCTGTTCATGTCCTCTGCCCATTTTTTGATTGGGTTGTTTGTTTTTTTGTTGTTAAGCTGTGTGAGTTCTTTGTATATTATGGATATTAATCCTTTGTCGGATAAGTAGCTTGTAAATATTTTTTCCCAATTAGTGGGCTGTTTTTTTGTTTCAATCCTGTTTTCCCTTGCTTTGAAGAAACCCTTTAGTCTGATGAAGTCCCATTTGTTTATTCTTTCTATTGTTTC